GTGCAAAAGTTCTCCTATTCCCCACTCATGCCGGTTAGGGTTTACTCAGTGTGTTTTTTTTGTTTGGGGGGGGGGGTATAATAAGTTTTATCTGGAAACAGGAATAAAACCTTAGGCCGTAGACGTAAAAGGGTTGTTTTCACAAAATTGTAATATACACGAATGACCAGAGCCTGCCCTTATCCGTCGAGTTGTGATTATTATACTGGTCGTCTTCACGAGACCCATACGCTTCTTTCCATAGTTTGCTTTCGTAGTCAGCTGAAGTCTATGCCACATTTGACAGTGGCGTGAGGAATTGGATCTCTACAACTTATATAGACAACAACAACAAGAGGAAATTTAACTCGAAATAGAGAATAGAGAGCCTCGCAGTTTCTAGATTTTACTGCTGTAAATCCGAGCTTGTGTCATCCTCACTGAAATCCAACATCTTCTGTCCAATGGGTATTAAAGAAAGAAACTGTTTCTTCTTCTCTTGCTATCTAATACATCAGTATTTTAAAACAATACTTTTATTGTTGTTTATTTATTCCTATTATGTTTGTTCTTGGTTTCAGTTCAAAAGTAGAAAGTAGACAAGTTAAAATGTCGTTTAGTATTAGAAAAAAAAAAGTAAATTATTTTTCCTTTAAATAGAAAAGAAATGTAAATAATGACGAATATGACGATATAAAAAAGGCTTGCCCAGCAAATATAAAAAATCTGTACCTCCCACAGGCCCATTAACAAAACAATCATTCCCTCCATGGGTATGCAGCCTGGAGCAAAGTGACATGTTCAACAAACAACGATGATGAAGAATTATTGGGAGATATCATCGATAAATCAATCAAATGAATGATTCAATCAGTAATCAGGTGAAGGGCATGCCGGGAGGGAAACAAACCAATCAGCGGCGAGGTACACACAGATATGATGAAGCAGGAAGCCGCGCACAGAAAGCTAATATCCTGGAATAATCGATATCACTATTATTACATTGCTCTCGTAAAAATATGTTTTTGTTTTCAAAGTCATTATCGGCAGCACTGTTTGATTACGTAATGCCATTTTTTGCTAGAATGTGTGTGGGTGTGTGTGGAGGGGGG